GCTATACAAGTGAGACAGCACGGGAGACTGCCGAGAGGATTGTAAGTAAAATTATTATTCCTTGTCCCTTTAAATTTCTATACAATTATATATATTATTAATTAATATTGTTATTTTTATATTATAGGATACTCTTAAAGAGCAACAAGCCCAAGGAAGCTTCATTCCAGAGGGCAGAAATGATATCTTAACAGTTGCTACAGGCAAGCCAGAGCATCCAGGTCATGTGAGGGGCGTTGGATATGGTGTGGACATTAAGGACTACTTTGGAGCACCTGCACGTCCCAATTCAGGAGGTGTAGTGACTAGGGAAGAGCTTGATACATTGATATCCACTGTGAGGCAACAGACTAAGGATGAGTTTGAAGCTTCATTTGCAGCTCGGCTTCTACAAATGAAAGAGCAAATGAAGGAGGAGATGATGAGCATGATGAGCTCACGACAGGAGACAACTACTGAAGTAGTTCATACATCTCCTGCATTTCATAGTACAAAAGGGAGTAATATTCTTAAGCGTGTGTCAGAGGGTCCTTCTGGTGACAACATTGGTGAACCATGTGAGATATTTCTAGAAGATCCTGATAAACTCTTGGTTGCTCTTGGTAGCATCTATAGCTTGGGGTCAACCATCCACCACAAGCAAATTCAAGATGATCAAGTAAGAGTGGTGGTTGCAGATCCAAAAGTGCCAGATGCTTTGGTTCCATTCCCTACTGATGAGGTGAAGACTATAGTTGAAGCTATTGGCAATTTTATCCTATGGCCCAAGAGACTTGTGAATCTAGTTCAAGCCGTGGTACGAAATTTCATGAATTTTTATTATGTAGCAACTTCCTAATATATGTTTTTTATTAACTATTTCTTATATTATATAGAAGCTTTCCTTGTCGAATCTCCTAAAGCTTCCACAACCCTCGTTGACTCCGCATCAGCGAATGATTTTAATGGCATATGATTTATCATTCGATTTCAAGAGTTTAGAAATGGATCCGGAGGTTGTGGGCAAGAAAGACATGATAGTGACAATTGAACGAGAAGATTTGGTTCGACTTCTGTCAAATAATCAGCTTACCACACCACACATTGAACTATTTATGATGTAAGCATATTTTTCTTTAATATAATTGCATTGTTGTAAGTAAACTTAATCATCAAGTTTAGTAAACTAATATAATTGCATTGTTGTAGGTATCTTCATCATTTGTGCATTACATCGAGCAAAGGTGATAAGTTTGGATTCCTTTGCCCTCATCACATGACAGAGAAAGGTAATATTCCAGAGTTAAGGGCCGCGTACCTCCAACAGAGAATATGTGAAGTCAAAAAGGACATTTTTATAGCTCCATATGTGCACTCGTAAGGATCAATTTATAATTAATAGTTTTTTAATATGGATTTACTTTAACTTGTATCATATTTAGCAGGGACCATTAGCAGTTATTTGTTCTTTCAATGAAGAGCAACACTGTCATCTTTTTATGCTCCCTCCATTACAAACTTGGGAAAGAAATGAAGAAGACGATAGACTTGTAAGAATACTTTTACTAAACTATTTAATTTAATTTTTTTTGAATATTTTTACTAACTTGGTAATCTTGATCATAGGGCAATGAGAACATATCAAAATGTAGTCTTACAAAAGCATGGATATGAGCTCAAGGATCCCACATAGATTGAGCTAAAGGTGATGCTATACTTTATTAATATGTTCAACTATTAAGATTTCTTACTAATTTTTTATGATTTGTTCTTATATAGAGTCATAGACAATCGGTGAGGATGAACTTGTGCGGTTTATATGTCATGAGGCACATGCTCAATATTATCACATTAGGCATGATTGAATTTACAAAAGAGGTAAATATATATATTTTTAAAAATTTTATTTTATTATGTTATTTGAGATTGATTAATATGCCTACTTTATGAATCAAATTTTAGATGTTTGACAATTCGGATGCATTTTCTGAAGCTGAAATTGAAGACATCCACATACGTTGGGCAACCTATTTTGTGGAGAACTTGTGAGGTTTTTTGTTACTTTTAGACATGTTTTAATTTTGATAGTTGACACAATTTAGATAATTATTAGTTTTCCTAATAGTTAAATAGTTTTGTATAATTGATAAATACTTAATAAACAATTGTAAATGAATTGAGCTGTCTGATTTGGCAATTTTTATGCACAGGAATGGCAATTTTGACAATTTAGACAATTATTAGTTTTTTTTAATAGTTAAATAGCTTTGTATAGTTGATAAATACTTGATAAACAATTGTAAATTAATTGGGCTGTCTGATTTGATAATTTTTATGCACAGGAATGGGTAAAATCGATAAAATAAATATAATATAAAAAAATAAAATACTTTTTACACCGGTTATTACCACAACCGTTGTAGAATATAATATTTTTTACACCAGTTATGGTAATAACTGGTGTAAAAAGTGCACCGGTTATGGTAATAACCGGTGTAAAAAGTGTACCTTTTACACCGGTTCCAATCCCAACCGGTGTAAAAGGTGCACTTTTTACATCGGTTGGGATCTGAACTGGTGTAAAAAGTTAAAGTAAATTTTTTTTAATTTTCTTGTATATAATTTTCAACATCGGCTCTATAACTGATGTAAAAAATTTAATTTTTACATCGGGTTTATAACCGATGTAAAAAGAGGGACTTTCTACATCCTCTGGAACAACATCGTCTCGTTAACCGCTGTAAAAAGTTATTTTTAATCGCTGTAAAAAGTCATTTTTGTACTAGTGATTGGGTAATGGCATGTTAAATTTTAAGGACTAAGTTATAATCAACTTAAAAGTTAAGGAGCTAAATGAATAATTTTCTCTTAATATGACATCAACTAGACTTGTAACTATGATACCTCTTTCAAATTTACTCTAACTTGCTCTCTCTCTATTATTAAATTCTCCCTTTGATCCCTATTATATATAAGGCACTTTCAACTATTTTATTAAAATTAAAAAAAATAATAATTAATTCATTAAATATGCTTTAAAATGATTTTTTTTTAAATTTACCTCTATTATGAAAAGGAAGAGAGAATTTAAAAGTAAAAGATAGGAAGAAAGAGATACACAATATAAGATAAGTCATAAAATTAATAAAAAATGAAACAAAAAGAACCAAAAGAAAAAATGTCATAGTGTGTGTATATTACTTCCCATAATCTTTATTATAAGATACTTTTTTTAAAAAAAAAATTTAGTCATTTATATATGATATTTGGTGGGCTATTACTTATATTTTATCAATATTACTTATATTTAAACCTATTAACTATGAGGGAGAATATAATGTAAATTTAAAAAACTTTCATTCAAATAGAGATGAAATTAAAAATTTATTATATTTTAAAACAAAAATAATAACTTATCAATTTTTCCCTAGTTTTGATGAAGTAGTTAGAAGTTCTTTATAATAAAAATTAGAATGAGATTTTTTTTTAAGGAGGAAGCCCTCCTCCACACCTTCATTGAGGATGTGCAGATTATAAATTTAAATGGTCTAGATTTAATATTTTTTTATTATACATTTTTAAAATAAAAAATATAGAAATTGTAAAAAGAAATTAATAAATCCATTCACTAGTTTGGATAATCTATATTTAATTTAAATGGTTTATATTTAATATCAATTTTTTTAAATTGACTTTATAGATGTATTCTTGATAATGCAGGTTTAATATTAAATACTTATTTTGTTTAAAAGTATATAGCATTTTTAACCGAATCTTACCCTTCAATAAAATAGTTACCTACATTTAAACTAACCTTATCTTTTCATGTTTACCCCTATTAAACACCTACAATAAATATAAAGTTATTCATCAATAGAGGCACTTTGAAAAAGAAAAATGCAATAATTACACCTCAAAAGACTAAAAATACCTTACATTTTTTAACATTCAATTCCTCAAAAAATACCTTATATTTTTTAATGGAGAGAGTATTTTTTATAATTTTTATACATTAAATGTGAGAAGTTCATATTTAATTTAGACTATCCAGACTGATGAACAAATTTATTAACTTTTTTTATAATTTATATAATTTTTTATTTAAAATATATAAAATAAAAAATAAATATGAACCAGCCAAATTTCACTATTTCTTTAGTTGAGATGCAGAGGAGGGCTTCCCTCCTCCTCCTCCTATTTTTTTTACCAGTACGGGTACCAAACTGGTTTAGCGTGAATTGGAATGAAATTGAAAATGAATTATGAAGATTTGAGAACCCTTATTAATAATTGCCCAAAAAAAAAAGAACCGTTATTAATGGGTAGTTATGAGACAAATGTACATGTATATCATTTTTTATGTATATCATTATAACGGTTATAACTTACAAGAAAATTAATCGTTTCAATGAGCTCCATGAATTTTTTTTTTAAAAGCATTTTAATAGGCCAAACATAAGTCGCTGTAATTATTAAAAAAAGGGAGAATGACAAAGAGATCCCAAAAAGATCAATTAATTTAAGTTATGTCCCAAATATTAAATTTCAGAAATTTACAACTCAATTTCTCAATTTTACAACTGCTTTGTAATGAATTTGTAATTTATTTTTTAAATTTTAATATGGTTGAAGAATAAAAAAATTATTTTTTCTGTTAAAATTTAAAATATAAGTTACAAATTCATCACAACGTAGTTATAAAATTAAGAGATTAAGTTGTAAATTTATAAAATTTAACACTTGAAATCTAAATTAATTAATTTTTTGAGACCTTTCTATCATTCTCTCCAGAGAGGAGATCTGAATAATAGTAGGAAAGAATATCAATATTTAAATAATATTCCACCGGCATAAATTCCTCTGATTTGAAACTCCAAATGTGGTTACAAATCATTCATAACATAATGGCCTTAAAAGCACATATTCTCTCTTTACGCCAACAAATAAAACTCCACAAAATTCAACCAATTAAACAAAAAAATTCATATCTTTATCATTCAGAATTTCTGATACTCACATCTATGATTCCAATCCCACAATCCCTATTCACTCTTCCAATTATCCCACTGCTTCTCTTCATCATTCTCACAGGTAACCACTTACTTACGAAAATAATATTTTTAACGATAATAATTATCACTTTAATTAAGGTGATGATTTAAATTAATTGGTTTTTAACATTGCAGAAGCTTCAAGCTCATGGGGGCTTCATGGAGAAGGAAAAAAGGATATGAAACTGTTTGTGTTTGGAGACTCATATGTTGACACTGGGAATTTCAAGAAATCAGGATCCTATATGCCACCAAATGGAATGACTTTTCCTGGGAAACCTTCTGGAAGATTTAGTGATGGTCGAGTTCTTACTGATTATATAGGTAACATTTTTTTTATTATCTCTTAATTAATTCTGGTAATTGTTTTTCATTGTGTGTGCATTTATATGTATTGTAACCGATCGATCGTCATCTGACTTTTTTTTTTTCTTTTAGCATTGGTTATACTATATATTTGGTCGATTAGAAATAGAAATATATAATAGTTTAGAGGCTGGTCAGATAGAATTTTTTGATTGACTAGACTTTGAACATATATATATATATATATATATATATATATTAGAGGTAGTAATTTGGGACACACCCAATGAGCCAATCTGAATAAATCTGAAAAATTTAAGATCAAGCTTAGGAGTTTAAAATTTTTTTATGCTCCGTGCTTATTCAGGTGGCTGAGTCTAAATAGGAATGGGCTTAATTTGGATAGTCAAATGCTTTTTTTCTTAATAATAATATGCAATTAACCTTTATCTTAGTTTTCACTTAACCTTCACGATCATTTTTCTAGACTTTTGATTCAGACATTTTGCACTCACATAAAGTTTTAATGTTCTAAGGATAGGAAAAAAAGATGCATTATATTGTTGTGTTGTTGCTTGAAAAATATTAATTTTTTATGATAAAATTGAAATTGACTCAAAATAAAATAATATAATATTTAATAATTTGGGTATTCAAGTCAACCCAAACATTCAAGAGGTTAAGGTCAAGCTTGGTTACATGGCTTTTTTTCACATTTAGGTTAAAGCTTGGCTATAGTATTTATGTTCTTGGACCGTTGAACTTGATGAATATCATTATTTATGAGCATTGTGCAAAGGGGTCACCATTAATGTAACTGCTGTATACTAAGTGAAGAGAAATTAAACTAACTATTTTATTCAAAAAATGATACGAGACATGGATATGAAATCGTACTAGTTTTTGTCACAAAAAGAAAAATACAAAACAACACAAGAAACAGAGAAACAAAATATGTAAAAAGAAATTAAGAAGAAAGGGATGAAGATCAAAGAGAAGATCTTTTAGGAACCTACCCTTAATAATCTTAATTGTTGAAGATATCATAAGAGTTAATTAAACTTTTGATCACATTTGTATTTGCCACATGATACCAATACAAGTAATAAAACTTATAAGAGTTATAAACTTTAACAATATTAATAATCTTATTACTTAAATCAGTCTTCACTATAATGGATGAAAGTGGCAAGTATATGTAGGCAAAGCAAGACTCAATCCCTAACAAGAAACCATAAATTTGAAAATAATAAGCCACATAATTTAAGGAACTGTGTCCCCTAAATTATGAGATTACAAGAATTGAATCTTTCTAAATTATTAAAAGCAATCTTGGCTTGACCAAAATTAGGAAACTAAAATGTAGGACTCTATTTTTAATTAATGAAATTATAAAATAGGAAATTAAATACTCTTGACTCAAAAGAAAAGGAAACAAATTAGATTCCTCAATCACATGTAAGATCACGTGTGAATTGATTCCAAAGCAATTAAGGAAGTCTTCAAGTCAACATGGGATCACGCCATTATGGGAAACAAATCTGAGGGCATGTTTTGACTTGGAATGCTTCAAATCTTGTCCAAAAAAATAAATAATAAAAAATAAAAGGCCCCGCCTTCTCCGCACATACTTGTTAGATGGTTTTTTTTTCTAATACTTTCGCACCTAATATTCTAAAGTATCTGAATATGTTAAGTTAATATTGCCCTCTCAGTTTACTCCAAATTGATCCTGATCCTAGCTTAAATGGGACCTTCTTTGAAGGGGTTTCACAAGAATCATTGGCGAAACATGTTTTGCATGTTTAGCTGCACTACTGCATATCTTAAGACTCAAACATGAGACCTTAAATGAAGTTGTCCAAGTTCCTAATCACTTGTACAAGCGTCTGTTGGCTGTCATGTGGTATTTTAAGTGACTTCTTCAGTTTAGACTCCATTTCGTCCTTGTACATCACTTAACTGGGCATTTAATATCATAATCTTCATTCTCAGACCTTCTAAAATGATCTTCATGACACTATTCACATTTATACAGATGCATGAGCTCTTTTAACATCCAATTCAGCTTGACTAGGCTTCATTGTTGGTCAAAAACCCTCATGGTCCATATCTACAACCCGGCCTGTGGTATTCATAATATATTTTATATTCATATAACTGCGTCTCAACGATAAAGCAATCAGGCGAGGCATATTTTACATTTTTTAATAATGTCACTCGCGCCTCGCGAAAACCAACAGCCCCTTGTTAAAATTACGATTTTTGTTAAATATTAAAAGTATAATATAGCGTGGTAAATAAAAAATATATTATTTTCTAAAAAAGGTACAATGAAATGATAAATTGGCAAAATATTCAATAGTGAAAAGTTATGAATTTATAAATTTAAAAAATATTTTTTGAAGAAGAAGAAGAGGAAGAAGAATTTTATAAAGCATGAAAATCGAACAATCGCCCTACTTCTTTTGATCAAAGTTTGGTCTTGTCAATACTCCCTTACTACAAACAAGATCTCAATTTAGATAACTAGCTTTTTGCCCTCCCAACCTAGGTTGGAAAGTAAACCAAATAAAGCTTAAAACTTGTTTTCTATTAGAAAACTTTTTTGCGTTATACTCCATTTGATTCAAAATATAAGTATTTTTTTAATTAATTTTGGTTCAAAATATTAGCAATTTAATACAAGTAAAATAATTTTTTTATTTTATCTCTTGTATTTATTAATTTAGATATTTGTATAAGTTTATCTTTCAATCATTGTAAAATGCATTAATAATTGAGACTATGGGGTAAAAAAAAATAATATATATATTTGTATGGGAATGAGGATTTTATTAGTATATGAATTTTTTTTTTCCAAAAGTTGCTTATATTTTGAACCAAACGGAGTAATTGTTAACCTTTTTTTTGAAAAATTTATTATTTTTTAAGATACCAAATTAAGTTGAGAACAAAAACAAAAAAAAAATCTAGAATCGAAAATAGATTTTATATTTAATATTTATGATTGATAATAATGCATATTGTTTTCTTTGCTTCTTTTTTTTTTTTTGCAGCTTCATATCTGGGAATAAGAACGCCGCTACCATACATATATAGAAATTACGTAGAGAAATCAAAACTAGAAAATGGGATGAACTATGCATGTGGAGGGACTGGAATTTTAAACACATTATTTACTGATGGACCAAATTTGACCACCCAAATCCACTCACTCCAGAAGCAAGTTCAACAAAATTTCTACACCAAACACGACCTAAGATCCTCTGTTGCTCTGGTCAACGTTGGTGGTAACGATTTTGCTACATTTTTACAGTCAAATGGAGCCCTCAAGGTGATGATTCTTCATTCAATTATACATCTTAATATAACATTCTTGTTATGTGCTTCATAGCTGAATCACATTCTTTTCTTTTTCCCAAAAAAAAAATCATTAATACCCACAGGAAAAATAGAAAAAGTCTAAGATCTCTTTTGGTTTCTAGAAGGATAGAAATGAAATGGATTGAGAAAAAAAAAAAATCAAAACGAAAGCATAGAGTATGTCAGATTTCCTGGATACGCTTAGGAAATGATCTTGGAGGATAGTGTGCGAGAAAGAGGACACATTTAACCAAGGATAAGATTAAAATTTAAGTACTCAGTTTTATATATTTAATACATTTATATCTAATTAAATTATGACAATTAAATTTTAATGTGTTAATAAAATTAATAATAAGAATTTATTAGAAGTTAAATAATTTATACAAGATCTACATATATTGATTTAATTAGAAATAAATACATTAAATATGTTAGGTCAATCAAATAAGTTTTTTCTTTACCCAATTCAAAGAGCAAGCACATCCTATTTATTAGAGCACCTGCAATCCAATTTGCAGCCTAGTTTAGAGTTCTTGGGAAATGCAGCAAGTGTTTTGTAAACATGTTTCGCTACCTGTTTTTAGAATAGTTCTTTTAAGAAAAACAGAAAAGAAAAAAATCTGTTTAAAAAATAAAAATGTATTTTCTATTATCTATTATTTAAAAAAAGTTAAAAGTTGTTCTGAAAAACTTAAAAAAGCAAAACATCATTTAGATATTATGTTACATTTTGTCTACAAAACTAGAGAAAATGCAGAGAATATCATGCTTTCGTTAATGACAATTTTATTATTAAAATAAGTTATTCCTTCACCCTTTATTTCATTAATTTAGATATGTTTTTTTTTAAATATTGATTCAAACAATTTTTTTATTTTTTTATTTCCAAAACTCATTCTTAAAAACTATTTTATAAAATTATTTTAAAAATATAAAATAAAAAACAGAAACAAACAAGTCTCAAGATTCTCAAAATTATCTCCAAAGGCTGAGCAGAGCCATTCCAAACTGTTTCATTTCTCTTCAAGATTCTCAACCATTGGAAAACAATTTGAAACTCTATCAAAAGCCCCATTTGTGTCGCTCAAAACATCAAAAGCCACATTATAGGGTTGCTCAAAACATTCAATATTTTTAGAAAGAAGACTTAATTTTTCTTAATTTTATTTACATAATTTATATATTTTGAGAATAAGATTTAACACGCCTTTTTACCCATTTCATTTAAGTACGTAAAATTATTTTCCATTACAGCAATTAATATATCTTGTTCTTTTGTGTTAAAAGAACAACTATATTTAATTTTACCAAAATTAAAAAAAATTTAAATCTTATTAATTCTATCTAAAAAGTTAACAAGTTTTTAATTTTATCCTATTCAATATACATACTTTAAAAATACTCTCTCCGAACCATAATAAAATGCATCTTCTAGAAACCTTGCTCGATCTAAAACATAGGGCACTGAATAACTTTTTTATTTATTTTTTTAACTATATTCCTATCTCATTTATTAGTCTTTTTAAAAAAAATAATACATTAAAATTTTAATTATTATTATTAAAGCTCTTATATAGTGTATTTAATGAGAGTATAAATGAAAAGATATTGACATTTTTTAAAAAATTTAAGGTTTCAACAAACATTATTTACAAACAGTAATTTAGTTAACTATGACTTATATTGTTGTTCAGAGGGAGTAAAATGTTTAAGCATTTAATAACCTCCCTAGTATTTAATAAGAGCAAATTAAAAAGATAAAGATAGATACAATAATTATCAAAATGACCTATAAATATGATCTCTTTAGTCTATAAATAAACCAGAGGAATAATATATAATCATCATCATCAAAAGGCTCTAAATCCTTACTCATTATTCATGACCCACCTCATCTTTATTAGAATATTGAATTCCAGTATCAAAACTAATTAGAGAATAAATTAAAAGTATATGCTTCTAATGTAAGTCTTATCAAATTTACTTCAACTATATTTTAATAGAAAAAAAATCTAATTATATACCAAATTCTCTACAATTTATAATATTCTGACCAATTAAGTTAAGTCGATATGGCTGATCTGAAGCATTCACCAATCACCAACTTGTACCTTTTGCTCCTTCTATCCAATTTATATAGTAAGCATGGCCATCCTGTTCTTCAATTTTAATTATTGTTTTCATTTGGTGATTTTACATTGTGTAACTAAGTAACAAGTATGAATCACTCATTTATTTATTTTTAAATTTTCTGTATGGATGCATGGTACAGGATGCAGGGGCATTTTCGTCAAGATTAATCAGCCAACTTTGTTCAGATCTGAAACTAATTAAAAGCTTGGGAGTGAGGAAAGTAGCAATAACGTTAATAATGCCAATGGGATGTTTACCTCAACAATCTGTGAACACTTCCTACCGAAAATGTGCTGAAATTCCAAACGAGATTGCCATAAATCACAACAAGAAGTTGCTTCATTGCATCTCAAAATTGAACTTTCAATCGCCAAAACCAGTGTTTGTCACACTTAATCTCTACAACACTTTCCTCTCTGTCATTACTTCAACGCAGAGAAGGCGTGCTAGTAAGTTCTTCATATATATATATATATATCAGGACCTTGATTTTGTAATTAAGAAGACTATTATACTGCCATATTTTTTTTAAAAAAAGGGTTAAATGGAAAATTTACACCTAAATTATATGTATAGAAGTGTTTGAAACTCTAAACTTATTTTTATTAGTGCAATGTTCTCCTTTAGCTTTTATAGTATAATATTGCACATACCGTTAACAAATATTAACTTTAACTTGACTGTTAATTGATCATTTCTTAGTCATTTTTTATAATTTTTTGGGTTCTTTGCTCATATGCAATTTTGAGTCTTTTTCTGTATTTTTTAATTTTTTTATAATTTTTTGATTAAAGTTATTTTTATTAACGGTTGGAGCGACATTGCATATTGTTTTCATTGCATAAAAAATAAGTTTAAAATTCTAAAAATTTATAAATTTATAGTTTAAAAATAACATTACCTTTTAACTCTTGTTAAAAAGTATATATATGATATTTGGACTATTGACAAAGAGGAAAAAAATTATTTAGAATTGCCTACTCAATGCCTTATCTTTTAATTCCATAAACAAGTTTAATATGATGCCACCACTTTCAAAGTAGTCTCAGTTTGTATTTACTTTTTTTTAACTTCCTTTAATCAAATATGCACTTTTTAGCTAGATTTTTTTTTTTAAACTTTTGATGACATTTTAATAAATTTAGTTTAAATTTGATTTGAACCCTTTGATTTAGTAAAAGGAGATGAAGTGTAGCGCTGATGGAATATGGGCTTATAGATAATAATTAAAGTTATTTTAAATACTTATTGTTATTTTATTTAGTTCATTGTATTGGGATATTTTACTTAAATACAGATATCTCAAATATTTCTTACATTAATTAGGATTTAGTTAGGTTTTCTTATCATTATATATCTTTTTAAAATTATTTAATATTTTTTATTTTTAAATAAATATAGTTAGGGTTTTATGAATAACCTAAACATTCATTCAGTCCTTTGCTCTCTTTGATTGACTGAATAAAAGTCGAGAATTTTCTTTGCTTCCTCCCTCCTTTCTCTTTTTGTCTCTCCCTTCCCTTTCTTGTTTCACATCACGTAGAGAATAAATTTGGAAAATCTTAAACAAGTTGTCTCTTAATATTATATATATATATATATATATATATTTAAAGTATTTAATTTTATTTTTATTCAGATTTCCATATTTATGAGTTTAAATCTTGTAATTTGACTTAGTTAATCTAGATTAAATATTGACAATAATCTATGTGCCAATAGAAAATTAGAAGAACAACATTGAAACACATATATGATTCTCAATTTTTTGCTTTAATTATGCAGAAGATCCAAGCTTAATGAATCCATTAAAGGCATGTGTAAATGTTGAAGTGGACAAGGAAGGAGAGCTAAAATATAATGTGTGTGAGAAACCACAAGTATCATTCTTTTGGGACCAAGTTCATCCTTCTCAAAATGGTTGGCATCAAGTCTACATTAGGTTGAAATCTTCCCTCCGCCAACTTCTTCAATAAGAAAGAGTTGATATATGCCTATGCAATCATACTGTTTAAGAATATTCTAAATAATAAGGGTTTAATGTTTCAAATAAATGAACTATTATCAACTATATATTTCGATCCTAGTGGATGAAAGACTATTTAGATTGAGTGTTTATATTATGACTTTCTAGATCAGTTCTTGCTTAGATGTGGGTGCAAGGGTTCTATACTAATTATTAAATATATTGATCTACAAAATATTTTTTTAGACCGATTCTAATTTTAACTGATCTAAAAAATGAGACATTCTAGATCGGTGATTATAATCGGACCTAGAAAATTATCTCTCTAAATAATTTATGTAGAAAGAATTGACACTTGTTATTAACTAAGAAATTTAAAAGCTAGAGATCTAGATAAAAATGCCATCAGTGACATTCTGTTCAATCATTATTGTATATGTCTAAATAATGATCACATCTCCATGAAGTTTGTTGGAATATTTTTAAAATGAAGATATGTGTTTTTAAAAATTAGTGTTCTTATAAATTAAAAAGTCATGTCCTTATAAATAAAAAAAATTATGAAGGGTTATGTAGGGAACTATAATCACCACAGCCAAGTCTCTTCAAATTTCTAAAGACACCTGTTTGTAAAACTAAAATGTATTACTAGGTGAAAATAAATGAATTTTAAGAATGCTTTACATATTAAAAAGATATTACTTTTCATGAAAATTTATTATATAAATAACCTTTGGTTAATATTAATTATTAAATTATATTGTTTATGAACTAATATAGGGTTATGATTTTTAAATAAAAGTTTTATTACTTGAAACATACCACTTCCAGACATCATTTTATTATTATTTATAAATACCACTTACCATTACTTATTTCTGATATCAACATCAAACTATTGAATTTCATTGCCTTTTTTGTTTTTTGTTTTTTTTTTGTCTTTGAGTATATCAAATATGAAGTTAAATTACCACTTTGTAATTGGGCATAGGACCCTATGGGTGGCAATGTTCTGCACCATCTTTCTTGAATGATGTGTTGAAGGCTCATCTGATTAATGGAAACTTGGTGAATACAAGGAATTGCATTTCTGGTTTTACTAACATTGGTATTGTTTTTTTTTTTTTCCTGATAGACTGTTATTGTTGTTTTTCTTTTGCTTTTATTTCTTTTTATTTTTTTGTGAGTTTGATGTGCTAGGTTGTATTCATAGGTTTTTTCTTTTGAGTGTTTTCTTTTTTGGCTTATGCTATTAGTGTTTGCACTTAATTTTTTGATATTAACAAAATTGACTCTTTTTTGACCAAAAAAAAATCATTGTCATCTTGAATTGAGTCTGAAAAATGCAATCCATACTCCAAGGTCTTTATTATATTTTGAAAAAAATTTGCCATCAATTCAATTTAATTTACACTTGATGATTTGAATAGAAGGCCATTCCTGCCAACTAAGTCAAGCATAGATCAAATAATATATATATATATATATATATATATATCCCAAGAAAATCAAAATAAGAGAAAAATTCTGAGCATTAAAATATAATATTTCAAGGTAATAATAAAAGTAAGGATGCTTAGATGCACATATATTTCCCAATTAACACCTAAACGAAGGATAAAGAGAGTTTTTGATGCGGTCAAGGTGTATTGTGAGATAGATGACAAGTGGAGATTTGTGAAATACATAGTTTTTCTTCAAACATTAAAGAATCTCACGTATAAATTCACAATTCGAGAATTACAAATAAGGGTATAAAAGTAGCATTGAGCCATTTAAAAATGTAAAATATTTTTTAAAGAATTAGATGTTAAAAAATATAAGACATTTTTAATTTTTCGAGGTATAATCATTGCTTTTTTTAAGTGCCCTTATTGATAATGACTTTATATTTATTGTACGGTATTTAATAAGGGTAAATATGAAAAGATATATTAGTTCAAAAGTAAGTAACTACTTTATTAGAGGGTGATATTCTATTAAAAATGCCTTATATTTTTTAACAGAGGGAATAAATCATTAGAAATGGTTATATATTTGACAAGTTTTTTATTTCCAAACTAGAAAATTTCATTTACAAATTTTTATTTTGATGATTGCAAATTATGGAATATGAGAGATTTAATCCTTATTTTAAATTTTCAAATCTTTTAGCACCTATTTAAATTTAATTAAATCTTTTGGTCCTTTAATATCATTCCCCCTCAATTATAATTTGGCTTCCAAGTATTATTTCTCATTCGTTATTATACATATTACTTAAAAAATAAATGTTCTTTCACAACCCCATGGTGCATTCATGATAGTGTCCAAGCCACTTTGCTTTGTGGTGGTAACTCAAAATGAAAAAGAAAAAATTACAATCAAGGATCTCTAAAGATAATTAATTACATTGTAAGACCAAAAGATTTTTATATTACTTTGTAAGATTAAATGACCTAAATATAATTAAAATTTATTGTGAAAAATAAAACTACCCTTGATATATTTTTGTTATAATGGGGGAATTGATTTTTGTTAAAATGAAAATTATATTTGTATTTCTTGAATGGAGATTTGTTCACCATATTATAACAATTATTTTACCAAAGTAATATTTTGTAGTTATTAATGAAGAAATTAATTATTATTAGAATGAAAATGAGACTTATTTTTTTTTAGAACAGGGACTTATTCATCGAATCACAACATTTATTCCTCTTCACTATCAAGTTAATTTTTTGGAGTTGTTAATAATGAAATTATTTGTTATTAAAATGTAAATAAAACTTTTTTTCTTAACGAGGAGTGGTTGTTAAAAGAATATATAATAAACACATAAAGAGTATTTTTGTCCCTTCACAACAAATGCCCTACTTTGATCCTTCAGAGTAATGTCATAATTATTTGGTCCTTTGGTGTAATTAATTATCTCCAAGCATCCTTAATTGTGATTTTCTCAATGAAAAACTTAGGAATTGGAATTGGGCTTTCGAAAGTCCTTTCATATGCTGAGGTCATTTCGGCCCAATGGATTTGTAATGCCCTTTTTGCGTTTTATATCATCAATCAATATCGATAATATTCTACCAAAACAAATATCGGCAAGGGCTCGATATTTATTTATTTATTTTTGCTAGTATATTTTTATTAAATTTATTTATTACTTCGTCTTGCAATTTTTAATGATATTTTGATTTGATTCAAATTCTCTCAGGCTTCTAAACTGTTAACCGCAAACGAAAGGCTTTTTCAAACATTGGGAGCCGATTACACACACACACACACACACACACATTCAAACATTGGGCGCCCATTGATTCATTTCAATGTTGACTTTTTATGTTGCGATATCTCCCAGAATATATGGGAGAGATGCTCTTCATTTCTTTATCATTTTTGCCTCCACTTCTTAATTACAACTATTAATATCATTGTATTAATGAATTTGTATTAATTACAAATTTGATGAATCGTTGTAAAAAGGGAAGCGAGTAAAAATGATTATAAACAAATGGAAAGATCTCATTTTGTTTACTAGTCTCCCCAATTTTTAGGTGCAGGGATCTCCATTTTCTTTTCTCTTTTATTTTTTTCCCAAAATAACACCATTTGGATTATTTTAAAAAAGTACAGAAAAATAATACTAGTTTCTCTTAATTTATAAGATATTTTTGGAATAAATTCAGTATTTTAAAATATCTAATATTTTAACAAAATTAAAGTTCCATTAATAATATTTTTTTAATATTACCCTTCCTATTATATTTTCTTTCTTTAATATCCTCTCAAAAATGAAGTACTAAATAAATAATATTTTTTTAAATTTATATTTTTATTTTAAAAAAATAAAGTTGTTAAGTGTACTTAATAAAATTTATTATTATGTATAAACTTATAAAAGTATTTTATAAATTGGGATGAAGAAAGTAACAAAAAAAAAATCTTTCCTCTGTCTATTTTTTTAAGTATTCATATTTGATACTTAACAATACTTTAAATAAAATTGTATTTAATATAATTAACCCAAAAAAAAAATTCTCATTTTTGTATATACCAAAATTGTCCAAGTCAACCTTTCTTTGGAGAGGAAGCCACGGAAGCAACCAGAAACAGAGACTTGTCGAATTAAAAATTAATAAAACAACCTGTGTGCGACCGATGATGCGATTGAGTGTGTGTATAAGAAGATACAGCCATCATTGTCTCCCTCACCTGATTCACTTTTCAAACTTCTTCACTTGGACCTAAAAATGGCGAACCAGTTAATGGAATTGCTTCCTAAAGAATATGGCTTTGTGGCTATCGTCCTCGTTTTCTACTGCTTTCTTAATTTCTACATGGCAGCTCAAGTCAGCAAAGCTCGCAAAAAGTACCTACATCCCCATTCAATTCATCATTCTTTATTTTATTTTATTTTTGCCTGCTAATTTATGTGCCTACAAGCTGTTTGTCGAAATGCCTCGCAGGTATAATGTGTCTTATCCCACCCTTTATGCTTCTGAATCCGAAAACAAAGATGCTAAGCTCTTCAACTGCATCCAGGTCTCTTATTGATCAATTTTTCTGGTTTTGTAATCTCATTCTTTGATTTTTCACCGATGATTCTTCTTTTTTGACAGAGAGGTCATCAAAATTCCTTGGAAATGATGCCGATGTTCTTCATGCTAATGATTCTGGGTGGGCTGAAGCATCCCTGCGTTTGTGCTGCGCTTGGAGTTGTATACATCGTTGCTCGATATTTCTACTTTACTGGCTACTCGACCGGCGAGCCGGACAACCGGCTCAAGATCGGGTATGCTCTCTCCAATTTTTCTTTTTTCTTTTTCCTTTTTTTTCCCCCTTTTTGCTCAAAAATCGAAGATCAAATCTATATTTAATGGATAAAATAGTAAATTGATCTCTTATGGGGCTGGTCTTTCAGTGCATAGCAACAGCTCTACGCACCGTTTCATCCCACAAAAACAGATTTGTATTGAATAGTCTAAATTTAAAATTTATATTTATATTTGTATTTATATTTTATATTTA